CATACTGCAATTCCCCTTCTTGTTACATTTACCATGCTCTTTGTGGTAGAGTGTCTCAAAGGCATGTTTTTCAAGGAAGGGAAGAGGCAGGGAGGGAAGGGAACAAACATTTTCATGAGTGCCCACTAAGGACCAGATGCAGTGTTTGGTGTTTTGGGTTGATTCTCTCTTTAATCCCCTTAACAATCCTGTGAGGTAGATGGCAGTATTTCCCTTACATGAAGAAGAAACAACTCGGAGAGGTTAAGTGTATTTTCCAAAGCCCTTAATCTAGTAAATTACAGAGTTTATATTTCTAACCTAGATTTGTCATACTCCAAAGCCCATAATCTACCTTTTAAGTTTTGGTGACCTTCCAGGACTAGGGGATTGGTTGGTTTAAATTTGCATGACAGGATGTTAAATTGGAGTTTTCTCTTAAGCACCAAGATATAATAGATATGAACTTCTAAAGACAAGTTTTCAAAGGAAATAGCCAAACAGCTGTAAAGCCTCAAAGGATTTAAAGGGTCCAGAGAGAAGAGATATGAAGAAATTTTTGTGAGGATTTCTTTGGAGTCGGCTTCTGAGGGGGGAGAGTTCCTGTGCTTTGCTCTTCACACCAAGACTTTCACTGGACCCTTTGAATCTTGATATGTAGCTCCTGGAGTTTGGAGGCATAGCGAAATGGGATCTGACTCCAGCATGAGAAATGTTAAATGCTGGAGAATAGGAAGGATAAGGAAAGAGGAGAAACCCAGTACATCCCTTTCCCCCCGAAGTGGGAGGTCCACCTGAAGTTGGTGTTAGCTGAGGGAGGAGAGATTTAACTTTAAATCAAGTTCAGAAGGTCCATTATTATTTGGGACTAGGGGTACTAATCACTGAAAGGAGGCTCAATTTGTGATTTAAAGTGACTGTAGGGCTCTTTGGAGTGAGTAGCAAAGCCATGGCTCCTGGGAAAAACTTAATTTTAAAGGTATTGTATTAGACAAAAGTAAAGTTGCATTTTGATTATATCTTACCAGTAGTTCTTGTCCAGTATAGTGACTGTATCTGTGTGGTATGATGTTGGTGATGGGCCACGCTCCTATGGGGGGTACTATTACTATTTTTGCCTTAATTTTGCTACACCGGCTTTCTTTTGACTAGTATTTGCCTGGTATATATTTTTCCATCCTTTTATTTTGAATTTTTGTGGATAATTTTAAGAATACCTCTGAGAAAAAGTATGAAACCAGATTCTGTGCCTTGAAAAAAATCCAATCTGAGGTTTTATTCCTGTTGAGTTTAATCCATATACATTTATTATAATTATTGGCATATGTAGATATATTTCTACCTTCCTATTTTGTGTTTTCTATCATGTTTTTTCTTTGCATCCTTCCTCTCCTCTCCTTTCCTGCCTTCTGTTGGACCAATGGAGTTTTCTTTGGAATTCTGGAATTTACACATTCTATTTTTAATCCTTTAGTGCTTATCCTAAGAGTTTTCTAAATTGATTATCTAACTTTGTGTTTTTAAACAAAATCTAAAGTATCTCTAACTTCTATCCTCTTTATTATGACTTTGACATTTTGAAATGCTTTTAAAATATATATATATACACAACTTCTGATAATTGGCATTTCTTTAAGCAAGCAAACTATTAACCATTCTTGTTAGTATAGTTCACAGTTTATGATGTATTTTTTAATGTATTATCTCATCTGATTCTCGATAAAGCTCAGATAAGTGTTACTTCATAATGACTTAGTGAATTAGGGGGCAAAATAAGAAGAGGACAGACCAGAAGAGAACAGAACAGAAAAGAGTTCTTCAATTCTTAATGGTACCTTCAAAAACCCTTAAGAGTCTGGGGACCTCAGGTTGAGAACTACAGATCTTAGAAATATATCCTTCACCTTTTTCTTTTGAGAAGGGAAAGAGGAGAGAGAATGACCATTTTTGAACATTTATTCTGTACCAGAAACTTTCCTTAGGCAAGACAAGCCTTATATTTAATGGTGACCTTCTTTACTTTCTAGGTGTTCAAGGATGTTATGAGCGTTATTTCACAACATGCTTCCTTACCAATCCACATACATTCTCCTGAATGGAAAATGAACTTTTGTTGTTGTTAATGATATTGATGAAAATAATAACTAACAATTGTAATAGTATTTCTTACAGAAACCACCATGTTAACTAGGTGCTGAATCTGATGGGGTAAATATATTCTCAAAACCACCATTCAGTTTTAGAAGGGAAGCCACTTAGTCATCTAGATGACTAGATAAAACTACATCCTGTGTAGTTTAAGAGTAGAGAAACTTGCTAAGTCAACAAAGATTTGGATAATAATTTGGTTATACTTATTATAACTGCCTTCTTTTTTTTTTTAACCAATAGGATGGCCTGGTTTAGATCCTAATAAAGTACTTTAGGCCTCTCCTGAGTATTTGTAAGTTTTTTTTTTCAAATGAAACAAGAAGAAATCAGCTAAAATGAAAAGAAACCACCTATGATTTTAACTGGAGAATAATGAATTATTAGTCATTGGGATATTAACCTGTGTATTGTGTTCTGTTATTTTTCTTTCCTCCCATTTCCTGCAGGGAACCGGGAGAGAGAGGTTTGTGGTGGAGCTGGAAGTAGAAGCTGCTTAAAGCCAGTGGCTTTTACATTTTGAAAAGGATTATGTCCCTTGATGAAATCAAGCCAGATATCCCTCGGATGGGAATGGAGGGCATTTGAAGGCAGCAAGAGAAGAGAAGTGAGGGTTTGTGGGTCCTTCCCGTAGCAGATACATGAGTTTCTCCATTATCAGGACCCAAGGAAGATTCTGTGGTGGGCTCAGGGAAGTTGGGCATCTAGTCTTACCAAAGATCCTCCTACCCAGAGGGTGGATGGAAGCAGTGGGGACAAGGGATATGAAGATACCATGCCAATTCAGTAAAGGAGGACCTCATCCCTAACCAGGGTAGACAGACATATGTCAGTGGGGCTCTCCTCAGGCTTTGGTGCCAGATAAGACCATAGGATGTTTGTTCATCTAGCAGAAATGGGGAATCCCCGATAATAACTGAAGAGAAGATCCCACCAACGTGTTACAGTCGGGATATCAGATTCCTATTTATGTTCATTTAGAGGCAATGTGGTATTTTAAAATGTGTTTTAAATAAATGTGACATTTCTAACATGTTTAAGCCAAGATCCATTTGTTTACTAGGCCTCGTATTCAATGGATAAGTCCTTGTTAAGAACTCCTCTAGGGCTCACACAGGCACCTTTCATCAGTGGGGCCCGCTGTTGTCTATGGCAGCATACCCCTAATAAACTCCCTTTTATTCCCATTAAAAGAAAAAAAAGTCCTAGTTGGCGAAGGCCCTAGGTCCCAAAGAGGACATGACAATTCTAAGAATATATGGCAAAGTATGAACGATGGTTATTTCAGGTATGTGTATGCCAGTAATCTCATCTGCCCCTCCCCCTATCCATTTCCCCCCTCTGCTGTGTCCCCCAAGGTTACCAGTATTGCTGTATTGAAGGCCTTCTTTGCCCTTTGGCTTCTAGTATGGCCAAAGGGAAATACCCAACAGGAGACAAAAAGGAGGGACGAGTGAGGTCAGGTATTCCACCCCTAGCCTGCTTCCTGGAGTCTGTCTTCTTTGAGGTTTCTGTGAGCTGACTGCATTCTCAAGATTCCAGCTGCTGTCAGGTGGCCCTTTCCACACAGCTGTCTACCATTCCAGTAACTCCCCACTCCCACTTTCTCCCCTCACCCCATTCCTTCCTCTCACCACCCCCACTCGTCCCCAGCTCCTACTCCACTGTCCCCCACACTCCCTCCTCCAGCTCCCTTCCCCACCCCATTCTCTCCTTCCCTACTCATCTATAGGCAGTCACACCATGTCACACGCTGAACTGTCATCTCCAAATTCATGTCAAAGTCCTAACCCCCACCCAACTACCTCTGAATGTGACTGTATTTGGAGATAGTTTTTATAGATGTAAGTTAAAATGAGGTCATTGTGGTGGGCCCTAATCCAGTATGACTGGCTTCCTTCTAAGAAGAGATTAGGAGGACACAGACAGGTACTGAGGAAAAGACCATGTGAAATCACAGGGAGAAATCAGCCATCTACAAGTTGAGGAGACAGGCCTCAGAAGAAACCAGCCCTGTGAACACCTTGATCTTAAGACCTCTGGCCTCCAGAACTATGATAAAATAAATTTCTGTTGTTGAAGTCAGTCTGTGGGTGACTCCTCTGCTGACAACTTGGGAAAAAATTCTCTATTAAACTCAAATCATCCATTTTGAGTCCCTTTTATTTCCTGCTGGGACCCTGACTGATCAGTGGTAGGATTATATGTGATTCTTACTCTCATTCATTCTTAATGTATTTTCCAAAATTCCTGAAACCATGGAATTTTTTTTTCACTGAAGACATAAAAACACTGTCATGAAGCAAAACTTGGCTTGTCTAGGAAATTTTTATATAAAATGGATTTATAATCACAGGCATCCAACACCACTCCACTTCTCCAGAAACCCCCTGCTCTAGGATCCTCAATGCTTTGTCCAGGGGATTATAAAAACAGGGTACATGGCATCAATGCTGGAGCTGGGAAAGTTGCCATCGTTGGCCCCAAATCTGCAAATATTTCTGATAGAATACTGAATGTGGCTGCCCAGGCTGCCTCTGGAGGGAAAGAGCACAGGTCTGTCCGAGTGTAAGGGACTGATAGGGTACCCACTACATATCCTATTTTACCAGCCCAACTCATGGAGGTGAGAAGCATCAGGAACAGAAATGGCTCTCAGAAGCAGCATTAGAAAGCAACCCCACCCTGAGAGGCCACACACAAGGGAGAGGAGGGGAACTGGCCTGACAGGGCATACTTCTGGCTGCCACACCCAATGATAAAAGGAATTCCTTCACTAGGAGTCAAAACTCTTTCCTTTAATACCGCCTAGATCTTTCCTGCGCCTGCTGACTTCTCAGCCTCAGTAACATTAAAGGCACACTGCAAATTACTTGCTTTGAAATTTAGAAACAAATTTTATTTAAGATCTGAAATACAATTCCTAAAATATCGACTTCTCCAGAAAACCGTGGCTACACAATAATGCATTGCCTCTATCATGTTAGAACGTGCATTAGACTCAAATACAAAAACCATGAAACAAACCACCATCCTTCAACAATTTGAGCAAAGATAGAATGCCTAAGGAACAACATAGATGGACTTGCAGAGGATGGGCTGTTTTACTTCAAGCACCATAAAAAAAAAAGAGCACAAATGCATGGGTTTTCAGGTATATACATGAAGTTGAACCTTTGGCACTAGGAATCAGGGCATTTTCACATAGCATTAACACATATTAGAAAATTGTGTAGTGTCAAAGGGATAGAACCACCAGCATTCAAGCAATGTTGTCAACTAGGCAATAAAATGTTCTACTGAATGTTTCTTCTTTGTCTAATTACTGCATACACTGGTAGCAACTTTGAAATGAGAAAAGGAGCTTGTACTCCTTTTATTTTCTGTTTAGAACAAAACAGAAAACAAACTGAAACATAAGCCCTGTTATACATTAACAATTTTAAAGAACATCAATTATACAAGAAAAAGACTAAGAACAAAAAGAGTGTTTACAGATACCAGACAGAACAGTGAGTGGTCAGTAGACCCTCACAGGGCTTTGCGGTGGTACTCAGCAGAAGCCACTTTATAATCACTGGCAGTAAACAGAGACGCAGCATTCTTTGCCAGGTATTTTAGGAAATCATGCAAATAGCCCAACAATAATGCAAGGCTCTTCTCATCAAGGGGCGTATACGCCAACATTGCTCCGATTCTCACAAATAATCTCAGTAGGTGTGGCGCCCCATAAACCTGGGACATTGGCGCATCAGGGTGAGCCAAGAGGATTTCGGCATACTGGGGCCTCTCAAATTTGTAGAGCAGCTGAGTGCCCAACATCACATTGAAATACTCTTTTATTCCTGCCACAACTTCATTAACTGCATACTCCTTATTATCAACATTTCCCTGCGATTTCTTGCAATTTGCATATTCTTCCAGGATAGCATCTACATTTTTCTTAGCAGGGAGCTGAAACAGCTGCTTCTGCCTGGTAACTAAGTCCCAGTCCTCAACAAGCCATGGTTTTAATTCTTCAGGAATCTTCACTTTAACTTCCATCCTATTCTTAAATGCCTCCTCACTCTCAACAGTGGGGTCTGCCCGGGCCCTTTTCTTCCGAGGTGGCTGAGGTGCTTCGCTGGTACTGCCACCATCTCCGTTTCCAGGGGTCTTCTGTTTATTCTTTCTTGTCTTCCTCACAGATCCCGAAGGGGGGTTCTCTGCAGAGCGACCCCCCCATCTGCCTGGGAGTGCTGCTTCCAGATTCTTCTGCTGTGGACCAGCTGCCTTCTTTCCCGAGGAGGCCCCTCTCATCTTACTTCTCTGCATATTGCTTCTAGTTGGTTTTTTGAAGTTGTCTTCTTCTGCAGATTGTTGTCCACGAGTTTGAGAACCCTGCTTTCTGGAACTCATTCAACCCTGTTTTTATTCCAACCACTGTAATATACAAAGTATTTCACTTGGTTGTTTTCTATGGCGACCTTTAACAGAATGTGCTTCGTAAAGGCCCATCAAAGCACAGCACAGGCTACTCTCTTGGAATTTGGATTTCAAATCCTATTTCAGGACCAATTAATTTTGACTTACTACCTCCTCCCTCTCTCTTTGATCCTCACTACCACCCGCCCACTGTTCTCAGCCCACCCAATCACTCATCAGACCTGCCCATAAACTAGCTTTTTGATGCCACTCAAAAGACAGGAAGATAATCTTAGAGAAAGAATGAATTAAATGGAAAAGAAACTACAAAAGGCAGTGGAGTTGAAACTCAAGACTTCTGAACAGGAAAAATGACAAGATGAAAGAAAGAAAGATTAATTTAGGTGGCTGGAGGCAAAATAAATAATAGCAAAGATTTTGGTCTAAGTCCAGGTAGGCCTGAACTAGGCTGATGACAGAGTCAAGAGAAACTGAATGCAGAACTTGGTAAATGAAGAAGAGGGAGGAGTCAAAGGTGATTCTGCAATTTTAAGCCTGGGTAATTAATGAATTACTAAAAGCACTAATTTTTAATGGTTAGTTTGGAATTGGTAATAAAATAATAAGAAACAGGTAATTTATCCATTCAGTTAGTCATCATACATTACTGCTTATCTGCTTCGGGACAAGTACTAGACACTAGGGATTCAAATATCTGAAGTGATGATTATAAAACAACAAGGTTAGTACAGTGATAGTTACAGGCACAGAATATTTTGGGAGCAAACATATCACCACTTTTAGCGATAGCTTGTTGGAGGAGGTGATAAACTACTGAGGGATAAAGTCAGTGATGACTGCCAGGCTTTTGAGAATGGGTGATTTGGTTACATTGCTATCACCAAATGAGACTGCTTCTAGAGGAGGAGGAAAGGGGTTAGAGAGAAGTTCAGAACTAGATCGAGTAAGTGTGAGTACGCAGTTAAACGAATGGCTTTTAACTTTAGGTGAGAGGTCAGAACCAGAAATGGAGATCTGAGAGCAATCATCATATAACTGGTAGCAGAAACTATAAGAGCCAATGAAATCTTTCATGGAGAATAGAGGAAGAAAAACTGGACCAAGGATAGCATTCTGTAAACAACCTAAGAAAGAATGATATTTATGGGGTGAGTAGAGAGAGGCCACAAATAAAACAAAAATGGTCAGAGCAGCCAGAATAGGAGAATGTTACGCTGGAAGCCAAGAAGTTGAAAGTTTCAAGAGGGAAAAGGGATGATCTACACTGTAAAAAGCAGCAGAGAGGGCTAGTAAGAGAAAAGATGAAAAAAATAGTGTTCTGTGATTCTTATGGTGTGACAGATTAAACAATTCCTTTGACTTACATAATCCTCTTCCTTCCTTCCCTTCCAAGAACTCCTAGTGTTTTCCCAGATGGAATCCTATAGATCTTCTGGGATGGTCTGGAAAGATGAGGTGGGAGACACAATCTACAAAGGAAAGCAGGCATTGGCAATGAAGATAAACTTCTGTGAAATACAGGAAAAAGAAAAGATAATCTAATTTAAAAACATGTGGTTTACAATTGTGATATCAGAGAAAATACATGAGCTCTGCTGTTAGACATACTTCAATTTGGCTCTGGCATTTATGGATTACGAGGATTTGGGCAAGATATGTAAGCTCTCTTAGCCTTTTATCGTTATCAATGGAATGTGGCAAATTATCCCTAGCCTTCACAGGTTCTTATTAAGAATTTCATAAATACGATCTGGCTGAACAGCTAGCACTGTACCTTGCAGGAATACCTGCACATGTGAACACGGATACAAAGATGTTCACTGTAGTAGTGTTTGTAATACTGAAAAACTGGAAATACCTAAATTATTCTTCAATAGCAAAATGGTAATGTAAATTGTTATGTATGCAGACTATGAAAGAACATTCAAATGAATTAAGCAGAGATCCATGTACTGATGTGAAAAGAGGTTCAATTATATACTATTAGGTAAACAGGCAAGTTGCATAGTAATGCGTATAACAGGATCCCAGAGAGAGCACAGGTGGAGGGACAAGCATTAGTCTTAGATAGTTCTTACGAAGTGAGGTATGATTTCTGTTTTAAACTGATGTGTTTAAAAATACATAGGATAAACACCAGACCGTTAAAATCAGGGTAACCTCTGAGATATGACGGTGGACCAGCATTAAACCAGGTTTAACTACAACTTTAACTCACAGAAAAAGCCCTTTCACCAATCGCTAGCCCTTAAGATCACGTGAGCAGGTGTCACGGAATCCCTGAAGGGGAAATAAGAGGTAAGAAATGTTAGAACACTAGCGCCCTGAATCAGGGAAGCCAGTTGTTGGGAAGAGAGGACTGGGTGCTTCCCCTAAGCAAATGCTATCTAACTGACAGAATGCAAAGCTTTCATCAGAAATCAGAGCAAAGGTGCTGCCCGGAGAGCATCAAAATCTGTGAATACACATACTGACCCTGTGGGAATCAGAAACCTTCTGGCTGAGATTGCTGTATAGACACATTCTGTGAAGGATCAGAGTGGCCAGTGTCATGGCACTATAAGCTATCAGGCTTACAAAATAATTTCTAAAAAAAATTGTTTCTGGGACAGAGTGGGCACGGTATCTGAGAATATAGTTAAACAATACAGGTGAAATCCAGAAAACCCACCTCGGGGCTAATAATGGGCAGAGCTTCCACAAAACAAGGGGACAGTTAAAATACCAACTCAAAAAAGCAAGTCGACCCAGTGCCAAGCAGACTGTAAAACATGCAGAAGTAGAGCCAGGCGGCATAGGAAGTATTCTGGAAGTTGCACTGGTCATCAGCAATTCCTCAGTGAGGAATCTGAGAATGATAGCTGAACCTACTGTATATCCTTGGCATCGACTACATATATTTATGCATAAGAAAACTACAAAAAAATTCTAATTGGTTCTCATTAAGTGGGTTTCATTATTCTCTACAAATTCTATTATTCATATAAAGTTCCAAGTTAAATGAAACATCTGACACTGTACCTAAAAATACCTGCACTATGAGTAAGGTCTGTGCCCAGACTAAAGCCAGGGAAGCAGCCTTTCTGTCTCAGTACCTTAATTTTCATCTGAGTTCCTTACCAATAAAGCAACTATTACTACCTGGAGTCAGAAGCCAGACATCAAAGGAGGGGAAGACCCATCCTTTTGATGTCTGGCTCCTACTTGTAATATGAATTTATGGGTAGCTTTACTAGGGTCACGGGACTTTGTACCTCCCTTCCTGGCTCCATGGCTCTGTGACAGATGTGCTGTGCACATTCATTAGAAACGTTAGCACTATATATTGCTTTCAGCGGTTTTAAACTTCGAATCTGCCAGTTTCTGACTTTAACATCGTTTACTGGCTTAGTATACCTACTCTACTCTAGCACACTTCCTCCCTTTGTCTCCCTCATCTAAATACCACGTCCCATTTCCTCTTCAAATTTCCTAACTACTCTAGCCTGTTTCTTTCCCATCTCCAATACCACATGAAGCCGACCTTAGTACTCTAGGGCTTAGTATTTATTTAAATGTTTCACGTGTTACTTTCGCTTATGGAACTACATTAATCTCCACTTGCCATGTCTTGTGTAATATACCTCTTGCACTTTCTGCAACAGCACTTTGGTCCTGGTGGGTATACACTAGTGGATCAGTGAGGTGATTTTAACACATGGGAAAATGGAGAAACAAATTAGGGACAAATGTTATCAAATATTTCCCACTTACAGGTCAGCTCTAGGGTAGGCCATATACTGAGAAAACACATTTATATATTAACCTTAGTTTTCTATCTTCAATGTCTGTGTAAATAGTCAATTCAAAGAGGTAACTTCATCCTGGTAGCAAATCTTAGATCCTCACTTAAAAAAAAAAGTTGTTCTCATTTCCTCATGTTAGTGAAGTCATAATATGCACACATCTTGAGAGCTGTAGGATATTCCACCAAATGGGCATACTTTAACCACCCTCTCTGGACAGTGACCGCCCCCATTCAATTTATCCTGTAATATTAAAATATTTGTAGCCTTCATTTCGTATTATCCCTTTGAGTCCCAGACACAGGTTTAGTAGGCTAAGAGGCAATTTTACATTGCCAAGTTACTTCCCCTGAGGTTGCACAACCTCACAGCTCTGGTCAGAACTGGCTATTAAAAAAATTTGTAAATTTGCTAAGGAAAATGGGTTTATCTATTCAGCTTGTACTTTTTATTAGTGGTTCTGACATTTTAAGAGTGTTTACTGGTCAGTTATAGTTTACCTCTTGTCCTTTACGCATTAATTTTAAGTTGGTTCTTAATGAATTTTTTATGAGTTGTTTATCAGTTGTCATACCTGAGTAAATATATTCCCTAGTTTGTTTATAGTGGCTTGTAAGACTTTAAGTTTTACATGATAAAACATGTAGTTTTTCCTTCCACTAAGCTTAAAAAAAATTAAGATGACATTTAAATGGATTTGCTTATATTTTAATTCCAATTCACCCAGAAATTTCAGTCATGAACTAAAAACCTATTATTTCCCCAAGTAATTAATTTTGTGGTATCATTAATACTCCCTTTACATACCTATAAATACCAAGTTCTCCCCTCCCCACCTCAACCCGAGTGTATATGCTTTCAAATCTTTTCATGTACACATTCACACAAAAAACCACCTTTAAAACTAAATGTGTATATTATATACATATGTGAATATGTATCATTTATTTACATGTCTTGACAAAGGTGAGATACGTATTGCTCCCCTTTTCTCACCTAAACAATGGGCATCTATGTCCACACATACCTAGCTCATTCCTATTAATACCCACATCATTCTATAATCTGCATGTAACATAATTTAACCAGTCTCATATTAATGAACATTTAGGTTGTTTCCAATACTTCATTATTACAGAAATGCTGTACCAGACATCAGTGTGCAAATATATTAGCACATTAGGTAAGTATCTCAGGACATATTCTCAGCAGTGGAACTGCTCAGAGGATTTGCTTATTTACAGCTTTGATGACACAGAGGCAAATTTAATTTTTAAAAATGTAAACGTTCATTCACCCACACCTTCAGTAACACTGGATAAACATCTTTTTGAAAAAAAAAAAACTGGGGGGATCTAAAATGTAGCAAGTTATTTTTATTTGAATTTGTGTGATATTGAGCATATTTTCAGACATCTGTATGTATCTTTTTCTTATGTAAATACCTTTGTTCCCATGTCTACTAGGGTGATTTGCTTCTTTTATAAACTTCTAATAATTAAATAGTAAGTTTTTTTCCTTTGTTAGAAATATTTTTCCTCAATGGTCATTTTTCTAATTGGGCCTGTGTGTGTGCATAAAAACCACAAATGTGTCAACCTTTTCCTCCACGAACTTTGACATGTCATGCCTAGAGAAATGCTCCCAAATCAATATTCTAAAAATTTCCTGTGTTATTTCTTGGCATTTTTTTAGTTTCTTTCAAATATGTAACTATTTTTTCCTAATAATTAGTCCCTTTCCCTACTGATTTGAATTGCTATTTTATAACATTCTAAATTCCTAGGTATATAAGTTTTTTAAGATACTCTTTTCCCAATGATTTTTGATTATTCAATTTTTAAAGATATCACTGATTCTAAGTCACCTGTTCTGTCACAGCAAGGTCTGTTCTCACACCAGTATCACACTGGTTTCATTATCATAGTTTAAATAAAATATTGCCCTGGAATAACACTTGTAAATGGGTTCCAAGGATGTTTGATGCAGTATTATTTGAAACAGTAAAACACTGGAGTTAATGTAGAGGACTACCAATAGTGATTTGGCAAAAATAAAACATGGTTTATCCATTATGTGGAATATGCCAGTTAAAGGATTGCCACTGGGAATGGAATCAAATAGAACTCTATGAATGGACATGAAGACATCTAAGACAATTTGTTGAATAAAAACAGCAAGCTGCAAAACAATACCTATAGTGTGACACCACATTTATGTGAAAGAAAACACAAAACAGTATTTTATATACATATCCATATACATTTTTTGAACAGGTACATCATTTAGAGATTTAGAAGGAAATATAGCTAATAGTGGTTACCTCTGCGGAGAGTAAGAGAATTGGGGGTGGTGAAAAAAGGTAATTCGAGCCTAATCCGTATTATTTTAACTTTTCACATTACTAGGAGACTGTATTCACATATCATTATGACTAAATACTTATATTAAAATACACGTATTTAAAATTCATGATTTTCAAATCTATTCTTATCCATGGTTCTCACACACAGCTGGACTTTTCAGTTAATTTTCACTGTGTAACATATACTTTGTAGGCATTAACATCTGAACTGGTTTCTTTCCCCACTTCTAGGTTCTGCCCACTTCAGAGGCCCAGGTCAAGGTCCTTTCCCTCCTTGAGGCTTTTTCCATTTCAGGCTACTTTGGCCTTTGCCTTCTCTGAGCTCCTATTGGCCTAACAGTCCACCTCCCCCACCTTTTGCCTTTAATCATTCTCCAAATGGCCTCCCGTAAAGGAGTTCTATGCCTAACCATTTACTGCATCTTTTCCACCAGGGCAGTACCCTCCTCTGCAATCTAGCTTTCAGAAGAAAAAAAAAAGGAAAATATAGTGACTCCATGGGAAAATAAGGCTGTCAAGAGTCTGAAAAACCTTCCTTCATCTCCTCATGCAACTGATGGGTCATTCAGGAATGCAGACTCCAAATGCTACCATTTTTGTGTATGGGTCTATCACAAATGAGTGGGAACATTTCCTACAGTTTGCTGGAATAACCTTTAAGTGCATATACATCATGTCAGTTACATTTATACCAATTCTGGATCTTGGAACACTTCCTTTATGTTTAACAGGTATTTTATGAGTCTGAGACAAAGGAGGAATGATATAAAAACTGTTAGCAGACTGAATATGGTTATGATTTGCTAGTTAAAATTGTAGTTCCTGGAAATTCCCTTTTAAATAAATATGATCAACATACTCAGTATCTTCCTAGATTGTTAGGATAAGCCAGAAGTTATAATCTCAGAATTCAGTTCTAGTGGTAACTGCTGCTTCTGGAAAATCAGGAGAGAAACCAACAGTATTATTATTATTATTATTAATAATAACTCCAAAAAGAGGTATCCTGCTTTTATTAGTGTAAGAGTGTGCATGTGCACGCATGTGTGTGTGTGTAACACAAGATGTACCAGAAGGACTAATAGAGCCATAATAATTAGTAAAGCAAACACTTATATGTGCCAAGCAATGTCTTGGTACTTTACATGTGATCCTGTCAATGATCCTACAAAGTAGGAACTATTATTATCTTTATTTTACAGATGAGGAAATTTAGAGACAAAGTGAGTAAGTACCTTGGCCAGGATCACACAGTAAGTGGCAGAGCCAGGATTTAAGTTCAGAATGTCAGTATTTGCTCTTAACCACTAAATTATGCTGCATACGGGATGCCACAAAGAAAACAAAATAGGGATGTATGGAGCTAACTATAGGGAGTCAATTATAGCATCTTTTATCAAGGAATGTAAGATGACATAGCCCTCTTATTTAGGCACTTTTTATACTGGAAGCACAAATGGACTTAGCTCCATCTTTCCTTTCTTAGACTGTAGAGTGCTTTCCTAGATAGGTGCTTATTAATCCTCAAAATATTCCTGGACAGTTAGGACAGTTATGTGGAATTATTTTGTCTGAGAACAGAGGCCAGGAGAAGGGAGGCACTTACCCAAGATTCCGTAATCAGGGATGGTTCTGCAATCAGGACCAGACCTTCTGATCCTTACTACACAGCAAACTCAGCTTTTCTGATGGTAGCCTAGAAGGTCAAACAAGGGGACAGAAAAGGACATAAAATAAAAAGATATAAGATAACGGTTTCCTTCTCCATCAATGTATTTTATCACACACAAAGGACACCAAAGCTGATAAATAATGTACAAGTGTTTTTTTTCTTTCTTGTGGTTATACTTTCTAATTTACCTTGTTGTATATTCACCCTGATTTTTGATAAGGTAATGTTTTCTTGACTTTTTATTAAGGATAATTTCAAATGGATAAAAATGTGGAGGGAATAATATTATAAACCTGTGCGAATCTATCACCCAGCTTCAACAATTACCAACTGAAGGCCATCTTGTTTTATCTGTAACCCCACCCACTGCTCCCCCCACCTCCGTTTTTTTAAAGCTCATTTTCTGTATTTTATTACGGAAAATTTCAAACATATACCAAGGAAGGCAGAATAATAGAAAGGAATTCCCTATGCCCATCACTCAGCTAAAACGATTAACTTAGGGCCAATTTTGTTTCATCTATACCCCTCCCCACTTCCCCCTACCGCTGAGATTATTTTGAAGCAAATTCTAGGCATCAACGTATTTGGAAGCCAATCTCAGAAATCTTATTATTTAATCCGTAAGTGTTTTCGTATATATCTCTACAAGCTAAAGACAATTTGAAAACATAACCAAAATACCACTATAACGTCTAAAAAAATCGACATCAATTCCTGAAAAAAACAACAAAAATCGAATCCGTCTTCAAAATTTCCCGATGCATCTTAAACAGCTTTTAAAATAGTTGATGTATCCGAATCAGGACCCAAACAAGGCCTACTCATCGCATGTGGTTCATCTCCAGCTCGCTCTCATTCTCCATCTCTCCCCACCCCCCCACCGCTTTTTTTTTAACTTTTCAATATGGAAAATTCCAATCTCCGCTATTTTGAGCTAATTCCCAAATAAATTATTTCATCGGTAAAGTCTGATACGTCTCTCTTATATCTCGAATTCCTTCTAGGTAAGGAGGTGATGGATAGGAAAAGCGCTGTAACGAACGACTTTACATAATTTGTTTCTTCTCATTCTATTACGCGGGTTTTTCTCTCCACAATAATGGCTAATATCATCCGGAGCCAGGCTTCATATTAAGTTATTATACGTATTATATTATATTACTTCGCATTAGTACATTATACGCATTAATTTGCAGCACACGCCTCTGAGGCACACGTCTCTAAGGTAGATACTATTATTATCACCATTTTACAAACATGGAAACCGAGACACAGAAAGAACAGGAGCCAGCCCAAGCTGGGCGTTGGCGACTAGGAATTTGAATCTAGCTCTGCCCGATTGTGAAGCCACTAGTTAATCTTGTCTACATACGCGACGATAAGAGGAAATCGTCAACCCTTTCTCCCCACCCCCACCCCGAAACCTGAAACGAGAATCCAGTTCTTTCCAGCAGCCGACGTGTGATCACTGCCGACCCTCCAACCGCCATAGTAAAGACAGGTTTCTCTGGCAACTGATATCCATAGGCAGACACGTCACCCTGGAGGCGGGCTTATACCCTTCAGCCAATCACAATCGTCTTCTCCAAGTTTTAGAATGTTCCATAACCAAATGATTGGACGAAGCGCACCACGTCAGCAATGACACTCCGCCGCAGTAAAGGCGGGTGCTAGCAACCTGCTTCTTCACCGTTAAGGCTTGAAGCAAACCAATCACCTTCCTCCTTTAGTGCGCGCTCTGGCCAATGAAGTTCGCCCTCTTAGGTTCTTAGCCCGCCCTAAAAAAGCGCGACAGCCGTTGGGTCATAAGTCTATAGGGCAGGGTGTTCACGTGGCCAACTTTCACGACCCAGAGTTCCCCTGACCAGAGGTTTTTTTTTTTTCCTTTTTTTTTTCCTGCAGGGAGGCATTATGGGTTTTTTTTTTTCCACTGGGAAAGGAAGTGTCTACGTGGCCTGCGGAAACAGGATGGGCGGAAATGAGCTAAGGTTCCCGCGAGTGGGGAAGCGCGAGGTCAAATCTGGGGCCACGCCCCCGAGCCTCTTGCGCAACTATCGGAGGTAAAAAAAAAAAAAAGGCAGAACTAGGGGTTTTGATGTGTGTGCTAGCGGGGGCGGGCGGGAGTACTGCGGGCGCGCTGTGTCAGGGCGAGTGCGTCTGTGCGCAGGCGAGCCCGCGAGGCCTTGGCGTTGGCGTGTGCGCGAACGCCAGGCATCGTGGCGCTGGAGGCGGCGGGTGTGCGCAGGC